TTAAATTGATTTCATTCATTACATTAGATAAAGTAGTTATTTATTTTATTTTTAAAATCAAATTAATTTAATTTTAAGTTAAAATCACTCTCTAATTTGAAATTAAATATAATTTGAAATAGTAATTTAATTTCAAATTACATTTAAATTAATTTAAATTTTTTCTTTCATTAATTGTGATTTGATTTTAAATAGGTTTTACAATTTAATTATTATATTATCTATTAATTAAATAAATAAAAATATAAGAATTAAAGAAAAATGAAAAAAAAGGTGAAAATGTTAAGGATAAAAAAAGAGGTTGAATTAGTCGAGTCAATCAAGTTGATCGGGTTTGGGTGAATTTAACTAGGTCTGAGTGGGTTTAAACGGATTTTGATCAAATTTAACTTTAAACGAGTTATTATCATAACTTGAGTTTTTTTTAGAATTGAGTCCGATTTAACCAATTGGGTTAGGTTGGGTCTCAAAACAATGATGCATTGTATATATATTAAAAATATAGTTTATCAGTAAAATATTTTTAATAAATTATTTTTTATATTATTTTATTAAAATATTTTAATAAATTTAAATAATAAATTGTATTTTTAATATATAATTTAGATGGTAAAATATAAATCTCATAAAATAATAAGATAGTCCCTTAAAAAATAAAAAACCAATGATATAATTAAGTCTAAGGATGGGCAATTTTTTATTTTACTATGAAAATCCGTATGGGTCCAAGGTTAGCTAATTGAGCACCATCTTCACCGGATAAGGTTAGCCTCCAACTCCAAATAATTTCATCTGGTGCAATAAACGTCAGACATGATCTTCTTTTTTAACTCAGTTCTCTGTTCTTTTTAATGCCTATCTGAATTAAGTGATAAGCAATAAAGAGAATCTTGGTAAAATATAAGGTTCAAATCCGCTTGTTATTTCTGAGTAACAAATAATTTTTACGAGTCAAGACTTCTCAGTCTTTATAATATTACTCTTGAATTATCACATTAAATTTATTTTTCTTAAAATAATCCCAATACCTGACGTGTTCATATTACATTTCACCTATTTTTGATGAACAGCACAGAATGAGAACTCCCATAAATCTATAACCAACCTAAGGATTATGTCATAAGCTATAAGCAAGTAGCATCGATATGGCGATAAGTCTAAGGCTTCACATCTGCCTTTTGCTATTGTCCACAAGTTTCCTCAACCTCATCATTTGCTACTGTCCGGAGGAAGACCATGTTCTGCTCTTCATTTTTGGAGATTCATATTTGGATATTGGGAACAATAACTAGTACAGTACTACTGCTCCGGGTAAATTTCTACCCCTATGGGGAAACTTTCTTCAATTATTCTACGGGAAGGTTTTCAAATGGGCGCCTAATTTCTGATTTTATTGGTCAGACAGTGTAACATGTACATATTTCCTTCCTTTTTAAAGAAAATATGATGACAAATCAAGCTGAGCCTTTTTGCTTTCTGGCAGCTGAATATGCAGATTTACTATTTCTTCCACCATATTTACAAGGTAATAAGCAATATACTTATGGAGTCAGTTTCGCATCCAGTGGTGCTGGTGCCCTATATGGAACTTTTCGAAGTTCAGTAAGCATTTTGCGGTTTAAACTGTACAACAACTTTTAGTTTTTTTAAATCCCCCTTTTTTCACTTTGTTGTTGATTCATGTTGTTCGTCCAGTTTCGTCCAAAAGATCCTCACACTCAGCTAGGTTATTTCAAGGATATGAAGAGACAGCTGAGGCAGAAACCAGGTGATGCAGAGACAAAGGCCCTGCTCTCAAGAGCAGTTTACTTACTGAAAATTGGAACCAATGATTACTTCGTTACTTTGGATCCAAACTCTACCCTGCTTCAGACATATTCCAAAGAAGAATATGTTGGTATGGTGATTGGCAGTATCACTCAATTCATCAAAGGAGTTTCCCCTCCAATAATGTTTTGTTCTCTTCCTTTTTGTTTCCCCTGTTGGGCCTAATCATGGTACCTGATTGAATTTTCTGTTTTAGGGAATTTACAAGGAGGGAGGAAGGAAATTTGGGCCCCTTAATGTAGGGCCAGTGGGCTGCATACCATTCATTATTGATCTTTTCTGTTCAAAAGATGGCCCCTGCGTGGAGGAAGGCATGGAACTGGCTATGTTGCACAATAAAGCACTTCCCTTGACCCTGCATGCACTAGAGACTCAATTAGAAGGATTCAAATACGCAATCCACGACGTTTTCACTTCGATTATTGAAAGGAGGAATAGCCCCTCTAATATGGTAGAGAATGTCTTAATCATACCATTTTTTGTATAATTTGGGTGGTGATCATTCTTATATTTCTGCTTTATGTTTGAAGGGTTTAAGGAGGGGAAGTCGGCATGCCGTGGAAGTGGCGCATGCAGAGGGATAATAAGCTGTGGATGAAAAGCAGGAATTAGCTATGAATTGTGCCAAAATCCTAGTGATTATTAGTTCTTTGACTCCATTCATCTGACAGAAAAGGCCTACCACCAGATTTCGGAGTGGAAGTCCCAAAGTTACTGCCCCTCACAATCTCAAAGCACTGTTCAAATAATCACTTTTATAAGCTGGTTAATTGATACCTACATGTACTTAGAATTGTAACATGTGCTATTCTCCCCAAAGAAAAATCATCACCTTAATAAATAAAACTCAATTCCATTAGAGGGAAAATGATTTGTTAAATAAAAAATTAAATGTTTAACATTGCATATATTTAAACTTTAATACCAAAGTTTTACTGTATGTACCAATTCAATTTAACAGCTATTGGTAGCAAAATGTTCTTAGAACTTTGACTGTGATGAAAACCTTAAGTGTAAACAGTGATTGAAGCTTGCAATGTGATGACAAAGAGGGACTTTCTTGGCCAGCAAGCAGAAGCAATTGACACAAAGACAACTATTCCCAGATTAAGTTGATTCCATTCAAAGTGTATTTCAAATGTCCGAAGCTCTGACTCACCTTGTAATTTTGATAAATAAAATCATATTTTAGTTAAATGTGAATGAAATCAGATTAATATCAGATTAATACATGTCCCTCAAATATGTTAACTCGTACATAATCAACCTATTCCAGTAAATAATATACATTGGACCAACTAGAAGCTTCTGCAACATTTCTCTGTTCTTCGTAAACATGTTGATATTTTATTCAAATTATGCAACAGTTCATGATTTATTATTTCTTCTATTCTTCATCTATATATAAAACACAGTTTATAGGAACAATTTATAAATAAACCCTCAACTAAGGATACTGAGTGTAACATAAACTAAACCGGAGCTCAATTTAATGTGGCACTAGGCCTAAAGTTTTACATCTGTATCTTTCTTTTCTTCACCAGCTTCCTCAACCTTATTGGCTGCAATTGTTCGTCCAAAGATCATGTTCCCCTCTTCGTTTCTGGGGATTTGTATTCCGATGTTGGAAACGATAACTACTTCAACACTTTTGCTCAGGCTAAATTACAAGCCTATGGAGAAACCTTCTTCAATTACCCCACTGGAAGATTATTTCCTTTCTAGTAACATACATATTCAGCTGAGCCTTTGTGCTTTCTTGCAGCTGAGTATGCAGATATACTGTTTCTTCCACCATATTTACACCGCAATCAACAGTTTACTTATGGAGTCAATTTTGCATCCAGTGAAGCTCATCGAGTATTGGTACATAATTGCTCATAGGCCTAAAAAATATCAATCTTCATTAGACCAAATCAGGCCCCCTTTTTTTTCTTTTCTTG